AAGCAGGTGCAGACATCCAGGAAGTGAACCAGCAGGCAGAAGATTTTTCTTTCTGTCCTTCTCCTATGTAAATTGGACAATCCAATAAAAATGAATTTTGAAACAGTAGTTACAAGTCAAGCAAAAACCATGACTAATACACACAAACAACTAAGAAAAACATCAATCCAACAATCAATGTTTGTTTTGTAGCCTCATGGAATTAAAGAAAAGTTAAAATTTACATAATCTGGAATTAATCATCATCTATAGAAAAAGAAACTAACATGAAACTGTATTTGAACATTGTCATGAACAAATAAATACCTGAGAAAAAACAGGGTCAACTAAAATATAACAAAAGTAATATGGCCTAAGCACTGTTATATGTTTGAATTACAATATTTTGCTATCAATATAAGATATACTTGACACCACTAATTTCAAACCCAAGCAATATAAGCCAATTTGCAAAATGCAAATTATATTTCTTTGAGAGACATCTCTTAGAAGGTAGAGCAATAATGCAGCAAAAGAAATTATGACAAACTTGGTGGAAATCAGTACATCAGGATTTGTTCAAAATGAGAAATAACAGGACATGTCAGCAAGGTGAGATAAAACAAAAATCTCACTCACATCTGTCAAGATGAATTTAAGGGAAAGACATTTGTAAGGAGAGCTTCACTTTTAGAATTCCAGTTAAAGTGCATAAGCATCTCTTGGATATCTAGAAGAGCACAAATTTATGACTGTATTACACAGGAGAAATAGATCAGTTGACACAAGATGATACGGGCAACCAGCATAGACATACTGTGAGGACACCTTGTGAAAATGCAATACTGATGGTTTCATAATAAATAAGTCAAGCAAGAAGGCAGAGGTAGAATTCCATTGTGTTCAAATAATATAGTATGTAGTTGTAAGAGGTATTAATGCAATGGCAACTAAACAAATAAAAAGGAAAATCATGGTAAAACAGAAACCGTATTACATTTTCTATGGGTATATCTGAAATTTATTGCGAACAATAATAAAATGGCAACTATATATAGGGATTTAGAAAAAAATGAAAATAGATGAAATTTACAAATGAACATAAGTAAAGGAAATACCACAAGATATTCTCAGAATAAGGATATAGAAAAATTGCTGGATGTAGAAATATGCTTTTTGAGATGATAAATCAAATATATATTCAAAGTCCCATAGAGTTCCAAAAGAGACAAGTATAGGTTATGTGAAAGGTAGTGATGTATACTAACCTCAGAAAGCTCTCAGAAATCAGGAAAGGAAAGCTACCAGAAGAACCAAAGAAGGTTCAGCATGGTAGACTGGTGGCTGAAGTCCTTACCTTACAAGTGTCTGGATCCCATATGGGCAGCTGTTTGTGTCCAGGCAGCCAGGCTTCCTATACAGCTCCTGCTTGTGGCTTGGAAAAGCAGTCGAGGAAGGTCTCAAGCCTTGGGACACTGCACATGCCTCGGAGACCCAGAAGAAGCTCCTGGCTTCAGATCCACTCAGCTCTGGCCATTGTGGTCACTTGCAGAGTATCAGCACAATGAAGATCTTCCTCTTCATCTCTTCTCCTCTCTAGACATATGACATTCCAACAAAAACAAATAAATGAATGTTTGCCAAGCCAAAGCTGGTTTTACTATGCTACATAAAATTGAACTGATGTAAGTTATTTCTGATCACTTGGCAACTGCGACCCACCAACATCTAGCACTGCAGTTTTGCATCATTTAAGGCTAAGGTGTTGGTAGGAGTTCTCCATGATGTGATCTGGCTGGACCTCAGGAAGGAACTCTTTTATGGCTGAGTCCTTTTGTGCACAGAAAATGGTTTTTGTTTCATATGATGTGTTAGGACATCCCTGTTAATATGAGGAGGTACCTGAGGCAGAGCACTTGATAATGAATAGAGGATTGCTTACCTTCCAGTTCGGGATGCTCAAATGTATGCCTCTGGAACTGGCTCTGCGCTGAGGTAGTTCCCAATGACTATGTCATGAGGTTGAGGGTGACATGGTAGGACATTGTGATACAGAGAAAGACCACATGACAACATAGGAAGCTAGAGAGACACTTTGGTGCCAGAAAAACTGGAACTGTCCATTCAGAAGGCAGTGGTTTCTATGCCTTGAATGCTCCACACAAGGACCCACTACTTAGATGCCCAGTACCTCTTCATGTTGGCACACAGAGGCTCAGTAGTCCAGCACATCAATTCTAGGGGGATAAATGACCTCATCCTAACCCTACCCCATCCCCAATGAAAGTTTTCCTAATGTATAATCATACAGGAAGACACTCAGATTGTTAATTGAATTATTTGTTTTTTGAATGACCATGATTGATGAATTCTTGGCTTCTCTTCTGTAAAAATGATCTCTTTGCTTGAGAAGGTTTTTTTTTTTTTTTTACTTATATTAAGAACACATCCCAGTGTTTCGAAGCAATTGATGTACTGTAAATAATTAAGTGATGACGTTGAACTTGATGCCTAAACAATTTCTGTGAAAACACTTTCAGAAAAAATTAAATATATATTTGCCAATAAAAAGCTTCTTTGGCATGCTACACAATATTTATGCATTTTCCATGATCTCCTAGTACCATATTCATCTTCTATTATCACTCGCAAAAGTGTATACCAACTTGTCAGAGCACTTTGGGCTGAACTGCAAAGAAGCAACTAGGGCAAATTTTTAGGAAAACATGCTAGGTGGCAGCACTGGTGGCAGATATTTGGCAGAACCATTAAGACATCACATGAGATGCCCACATGCCATAGTAGAGTGCCTGAGTTCAAATCCCATGTCTGCTTAGGATTCCAGCCTCCTCACAGGGCGCAGTCTCGCTGAAAGGCATATTTCCATCCTCATGGAGCTGAGTCCCTGACACCTACTTGAGATACCTGCATTATGTTTTGCTCTCAGATTCAGCCACATCACATCCTGCCTGGACACTCGAGGGATTTGGGGAGACAACCCATGGTAGAAAGATCTTTCCCTTCATGTTGGTCAAACAGACAAACAACAAGGAAAAAAAAATCAAACTGGCTATTTGAAGGGGAATTGAGATAAAACCAGATTCAATCTGAAATATAAGTATTTACTTGTGGGAAACCTTGAACCTTAAGTCTCCAGAGTCAAGTACTTCCATTCAGTGCATACTCACTGGCTGCCTTTCAGTTACTAGAACTTGATGGAAGTATGAGAGTTACAGACATGAGAGTCACAGTTTCTGTTCTCAAGACGTTAACAGCAGAGTCTGTAAAGCTTCCATGCACACAATGTGCTTTACTGTTAAAACTGTACATAGAGTGTGTGCCTCCTAAAGTCCTTATTTGTACCTAAATTTCTGAACGCACAGACACCACCATTCATTCCACTTCTGATTTTGATTTACCACAGCAAAGCACCATTTCAGTGCCAAAGCATTAAGGGAAAATGGGCTTGGGGCCAACGGGGGAAGTTTGGTGGCTCAGCTTGTTAAGGGGTTGCCTAGAATACAGGCATCCCAGAGGGGGCTGAATCACTTCTGAGCTGCTCCACTTCCCGCCCAGCTCCCTGCCCGTGCCCTGGGAAGGAACAGAACATGGTCCAACTTCGTGCGCCCCTGGTTACCCCACAGAGGAGTTGAAGACCCAGACCCTGTCTTCACCTGCCTGTTGTGCTCATTTGGAGAGTCAACCCAGTGAATGTCAGATTTCTCAAGCTTCTTCCCACCAACAACACTTTCTTTCCAGTAAATGAAAAAACTCTTTACAAACATTAACGAAAAACAGACATGATACAATACCACTTCCAAGAACAGTCATGCCAGCTTCAATGCAGAGCCAATTTCTCTTCTTTCTTTCAGTCATCCAGCATACAGCCACTCAGACACACTCTACATCGGTTCACATTTTGCAATTAACAGAGTCCCATAGTGCTTTCCTTCAAACTACTCTCAACTATCTTAAACAACAAAATGTCTGAAATTCCTGAAATGAAAATATTACTAGTTGGAGATTTACATAGCAAGTTTGTTATTTTTTTCTAAGCAAATGATTAGGAACAGCTCAATTTTCCTCTTTGCAACTTTATTTCAGTTAGAACAGGATTTTGAAACATGACTTAATATCACATTCAATATCAAGAATAGTCATACCAAATACACTGAATGAATTTCTTGCACACATTCCCAAAGTTGACACATCTTTCACATTCACACTAGGAACCCCGCTTTGAGGTGTGGCACTCAGTCCTGGGCAGGATTCTTACACACATGCTAAATTGTATGCAGAAATCTAGAACAGCAAGTGACTGAAGCTTAACATAAGGCTGGGGATACTAAATACTATGCTCAATCTGAAATGCAGGTTCATTCAGGTAACTACACCCCGGGAAAGTATGAAGTGCTCTCATGAGTAGGAGTATTGATGTGGATGCAAGATTCTAAGCTAATCTTTCTTTAAAAAGCATGGCTAAGGTTCACAAATTTCAAATGAAATGTTTTCAAAGCTAAGCTAGAAAGCCCAGTACATTTTGGAAACAGAATGATGTGATAAAATCACAGTAAGATCTCCAGAGAATGGCACCAACCTTTTGCTTTGAAGATTTCCTGATTATACACTAAATCTGGAATGAAAAGTACTGAAAGGGCATAATGCAATACCAAGTTTGAGCAAAAAGAAAATATCATCAACTTTAAGAACATGCCAGAATTCCCCTAATGAAACAGAACATGTGATTCATTCAGTGACAGAAATAAACAGTGAGATATAGCCAAGTTGTGGGGTTGGGTTGTAAGTCTGAAAGAGCAGGTTAGGTTGAGGAAGAAAAGTGTTCAAAAGTTTGAATGATGAGAGGATCTTTCTATTTCTCTGCACGAGGTGGGAGGATAAAATTTGGCGAATTCCTCCTGAAAATCAAAATTTTGGGTATTAAAAAGCATAAAGACAACAGAGCAATGGAAGATAGAAGAGAATATAGTGTCTATGTGTACCTTGAGCAATGGCAGCCATCCTCAGCTCCACAGGCCAGCATAGTTTCCATGGAGATTAGAAAAGGGAGGCCCCCCAGCCACAAAGAGCTTCATATCTGGCCAGTTGTAGCAGTGGGTGTACAAGGAAATTGGCAGTTGAGTGAAACCTACATTCTGGTATGCCCGATGGGTATCTTGGCTGATCCAGCCCCTGCTACAGGTGAGCTTGAGTATTCTCCTCTTAGTCCCTGTAGAAGAGTCCTGGCTGACCACATTGCTGTACTCTAGGAACTTCTGGGCACGGATGTCATAGAAGAACAGGGAGCCATGCACTGTTCCCAACGTGATAATGTCCTGGTTACAGCTCATTGAGCACACACTGTCGCCAACTCTTCTGCAGTTCAGCAGCCGTAAGTTGTGCTGGGGATAGCGTGGATCCAGGAAAGAGATATAGGTCCTGGAACCCACAGCATACAGGGAGAACTCATCACAATATGTCATGCATGCATTCCCTCCAATGTAGGGCAATCTGAAGGAGATTAGTATGGACAGGTTGCTCTGAGGTTTCCAGAGGTGGAAGTAGCCATTCAGGGAAAATGATCCCAGCTCCTGGTTCCTGCTGCTGAAGGCAAGTGCACAGACTGGGGAGTGACTGGGAAGAAGGGGGCTGAATGTGGAGATATCCACCACATCTGCTGGACGGATGTGGCCATTTAGATGGATGCCCCTGTTATTGTTCCAAGCAATGGTATCATAGAAAAGATCAGGGTCCAACCTCCACAAAGCCAGGGTGCCATCATAGGAGCCGCTCACCACCACATTGTCACTCACCCAGGCGATAGCACAGATCCTACCCTTGTGGCCTTCGATGTCACCCAGGCACACAGGGTCCATGGTCGGCAGCTGGTACACGGCCAGGCTACTGGGGTTCTTGCCCCCTGTGGCCAGAAGTGTCTTGGAGGGATTCAGCTCAATGGCTTGGATACCAGAGCCAGAAAGGTTCCCAGCTGCAGCTGGCTCTCTGTCCACCATCATGTTGCAGTGTGTGATCTGGCCCGAGTACACATCCAGCCTGAAGAGCTTGTTGCACTTGGTGCCACACACCACCTCCCTGCTATTCAGCCATTGCGAGGCAAACACTTTGTCCAGGGTGCCCAGGTCCAGTTGGTGCTCCCTCAGCATGTGGGGCAGGCTCCGTGCTGCAAGGCTGCTCAGCTGGCTTTTAAAACTCCGTAGTGCCCTGTGTCCCTTGGCACACACCCTGCGTTCCTGCAGGTAGTGCACCAGGGAATGACGTGTAGCTAGCCCTGTCGCTGGCAGTCCCTTTCCAGTCTCCATAGACAAATCCTTTAAAGAGGAGCTAGTGGCAGCAGTTTCTATCACAGAGCTTTCTGGTTGCAACTACTAGTTTGCTACTAGACCTTCGTCAGCAGCGAGCAAGAGGAGCAGAATAAGCCTGGGAGTCTGTGTTGGTGTTGTCCTTGGTGGTTTGGCAAAGGAGATGTCTACAATGAGCCTATGGCTGTTCTGTTTTGCCCATTGTAGCGTTGAGCCATGTTGCTGCTCTGTCTTAGCCTGGTGTGCAGGTTTTCAAGAGCCTGGAAGCTGAATGGCCTTTAGGGACTATTGGTTGAGATTCTAAGATGACAGTGGTCTCCTGAGAAGCTGCTCAGCCCTGCGCCTCAGTCTCTGCTGGAGGTAGCAGAGCCCTGTGCTGGAGGCAGTAAGGCTGAAGAGGCGTGATTTGGCCCAAGTTGAAAATGCCTGAAATCACAGCCAAAGGCAAAGTGGCTGTGGGAGCTAGATGGGAAGACCCCACAGGGTGATGGCTATGGAAGGCCCTTATGCTACAGGTTGGGACAACTGGAGCGGCTGGCAGATCCTGGTGCCATGCGTTGGAGTGTAGCATAAGCCAACCTGGAGTGCATGATGGGGAATGGGGCCTCAGGAGCTGGTTTCCAAACAGCAGGAGCGCAGGGGCCCTAGAATGAAACATAAGCATTTAGTGGGTCTGCATATGTCTTGCCATGCTTGGGAGACTCCTCCCCGCTCAAACCTCTTACTCAGTGCTACAGACAGTCTTATGTTAACTTTCTTTCTTTAATTATATATTTGATAAGTCAGAGACACAGAGCCAGATGAGTAGGTTCACTGCTCAAATGGCTGGAGGCCTTAGGGAAACAGGATCCTGCAAAGCCAGCTGGTTCTCCTACTGAAGTCTTCCGTGGCCGTTTGGGAAGCTTTGGACCAGCTGCAAAGAGGAGCATTGCTCACGAGATTCTCTGGTGTTGCAAGCAATGTATTAATGTGCTGTACCACAATGCCTGAAACTGGTTTTGCCTATCTCTGCATCTTAACGCGTTTCCAACCAATAATGTAGGTCACTGAGCTCCTGTGCCAGAACCGTGGACGCCTAGATTCCACATGCAGAGCTTGGTCCCATGTCCTGCCTACGGTGGGGTCTAGGACACCATAATTGGCTGCTGCCCTAAGAACCTGGTTGGCTGCAATGATGGACAGAGGTGTGGGAGGAGAGAAAGCAGGGTTTCCTTAATCGCTCTGCCTGTCCTTAACTCCCAGAGCCCAGGGGAAGTGTAGTAAATCAATCCATGGTGGGGAGTACCACCTTTTGAGGCATGAGTAGCAGCCACTAATTGCCAGATCTTTGGCTGCCAGTGGACAGAATCTTGCTCTACAGAAAATATTTTCACAGAAGCCATAGGATCTTTCCAGAAGGAGACAAGCATATAGGCACAGTGGCAAGAATGTAGAATTTCAGAGAATAAAGAACGGGCTTACACTCTGGGTTGGTCGAAAGTTCATCTACCATTTAAGTACAGAATGTGCATGCTCTCCCAGCCAAGCTCCAGGAATTTCGTTATAGAGTGATACACAGAGACTCCAGCCCAACTCTGAGAGTGGTCAGCTGCTACCCATGCTTCAAACTCCCCCAGTCTATTGTACAAAAACATGTTTGTTTGCTGCGTTGGGAGGGGAGAGGAAATTTACTTGTTTGCTGCATCATAGAGGAGGCCACCTCAGTGTTATAGTTGCTCATCTCTGCCTTTGGCTCCCTTTCGTCTTGCTGAGTCTCTCTCAACAAATTTCCAAGCAACTTTTTGTTTTGCAAGGTTTATCTCAGGGCACAGAGTCAAGCCATGGTTTCTTCCTACCACCTGAGTCAACCACCTGCATTCCACGGGGGCCCACATGTTGCAGCATTTCATTTTTAAATTTCTGTATGCTTCTACAAAATGTAGACTCATAAAGAAGAGGCCCTCAGATATGACATCTGATATTTCGCTCAGCAAATTCTTAAAACACCTCAATTTGTAGAACATAAGCCAAGAAAATAAAAGCCCTTCCAGAGTTCTTATGGTGGTATAGGATTTCAACAACTTGAGCTTTAATCTACTATATCCCAAGACCATAAGCAGGGAGCTGAATCAGAAGAGGAGCAGCAGCGACAGAAATCAACTACCAAATGCAATGTTGACTTTTGAAGGCAGAAGATTAGCCCATTGAGCCAATTAGCTTTTCTCCATCTTTCACTTTACCTTTGTGTGTGTGTGTGTTAAGGAAATGAATACATTTATTATCAAGCCATTCCTGTGACATAAGTTGACATCTGCAATTTTGGGGAAAAGATTCCTCTAAACATCATTGTAGCATTAATGATGGACAACCCTACGATTTCTAGTTTAGAATGATTTTAGTAAAACAACAACAAATGCCACACACTCCACCCAACCCAAGCTCTTTTACTGCTCCACTCCACCCAACCGAAGCTCTTGTACTGACAGTTGGAGAGTGTCTGCAGCCTTGAACTCACCCGGATGGCTTCAACAGGTTAACATGCGAGCCCTCAAGAACACAGCCAAGGAAACCGAGATTTGCTTTTAATATATGCTTAATGGCCTGCTGAAAATGATTTCTGATCACTCAGCAACAATGACCAACGAATATCTAAGGTTCTAAGGTTAGATCAGTGAAAGGCTAAGGTGTTGGTAGGAGGTCCCCAAGATGTCATCTGGCTGGGACTCAGGAAGAAGCTCCTTCACTGCTGGGTCCTTTTCTTCACTGAAATTGGTCTTTTCTTCATATGACGTGTTAGGACATCCCTATTACTATGAGGAAGTACCTGGGGCAGAGCACTTTATAATGAATAGAGGATTGCTTACCTCCCAGTTCAGGATGTTCAGACGTATGCCTCTGGAATTGACTCAGCACTGGGGAAGGTCCAATTAAAAATATCATGAGGTGGAGGGTGACATCGGGTGTGCTCAAAAGGTCATCTTCCGTGTACAGCCTTGACCAGGCAGGCTCTCCCTGCCATCCACTGGGAATTTCCTTACAGAGTGTTTCATGGAACCCAGAGCCTGCTGCTGAGAGTGGTCAGCTGCTCCCAATGCTGCAATCTCTCCCAGTATTTGACACAAAACTTGTTGATTATTGAGTTAATGAGGACAGGAGAGTGATTTTACTACATTAAATCCTGAATTTGTCTCTTTGCTTTAAGTTTTTGTAGACACAGGTTAAATGGTAGAATTATTTTTAAATTTCTGATGATTCTCCAAACTGAGTTCCTTAATGGTTATGCGAGTTTATATTTTCATGGGCACTGGATGAGGGCTCTTTCTCACATACATTGAATCAATTGAAATTCTGAGCGAAGAGTGTTATATAAAATAATGGACTTTTTTTTTAAATATCAAAGAATTTCCTAATCTTGGCTACTCAGTGAAATAAAATGAGGTCAGTATTGTGGGGAAGGTGTCTGGTGAATGTACTTTAGCAAATGGGAAGTCAATGAGGAAGCTTGAGCACTCCTGAGGCATGTTATTTTAATGCCTACTGAATGGGCGCCTTGAGATATTTTCTGCTAACTTCCAGCTGTGAACTCACAAATACTGTGCAATTGAATTGTGTATAGTGCAAGGGCACTGTGTTTGCAGGTGTTTCCCATGAATGTTCAGTCCAGTGTTGGGCAGTTAGCCTCTTAATACTGCTAGGTACATTTTGCACAGCAAATGTTGTTCATTTCCTATGCTGTTTTAAACCATACTTGTTATGCCAAGGAAATACCTGAGGAAGGGTATTTCATAAGGAAAATAAGTTTGTCTAACTGTCAATCGTGGATCTAATGGCATGAATCTGTGAAGGGTTGCAGTCCGATGAGGCCTGGCACCCACTTGTCAGGTTAATTGACAGTGCCCCCCTGCCCTTCCTACCTCCTCTCCTGCCATTCAAGTTAAATGATTGCAAGAAACTGGTTCTGGAGTCTTCTCAGGTGCTCCCAGTCCCTCCCACCTCTGGTGCCATTCAACTTAATTGACAGAGAGGAAATGACTCCAGAAGCTCTGCACACCTGGCCTTCCTGCTTCCTATTGTGCTAGGTTAGTTTAATTAACCACAGGAAAACTTTGGGCTTTGGCAGCTCCCTTCTTGCCTCTTGGAATTAGTTACTTGAATTTGTGGCAGCTTTGTTCTGGATGGCTTTCAATCAGCTTGGAGGATGAGTGCTTAAAACCCCTCATTCTGCCACTGGGTGCAGTAGCTGCTGGAGTGCAGTAGGAGGCACTGTCTGCCAGGTTTGGGCAATGAATACTCCTCCTAACATCCTGCACTTGTGTCCAGTGTGATTTCTCTCACACTGCACAACTACTCTAGATCAGTTATAGAGACAGATGCCTTGTCTATGCCACGTGTGGGAGGTTACAAGGTGGCAAATTGTTATACAGGGAGAGATCACATTAATAGGAAGTTAGAGAGAAACTGTGGCCCCAGCTGTACTCCACAGGTCTCTTCAATAGGTGATTGTATCCATGGTGATGGTGATTTACAGTGCTGAATAATGTGGGCTGACCTGAAGATATTCCAGAACCTGGAATTAGGAATTGGAGCTAGAGTTGGGTTGGCAGCTCTGATGTGGAATGTGGACATCTGAAATGGTGCCTTAACCACTGTGCCAAACACAGCCCTGCATTCTATGAATTCCTGAAGACTCTTCATGTTATTAATTTTTGTATCAGCCTCTACAATACATACTGATATGTATTGGAACCTCATTAGCATTAGTTCTGCTCCTCTCAGTAACTCAAGTTTCTTATGACGTACATGAACTGTTGGCATATGGTATTAGCATAGCAATATATGTGTTTATGGAAATGACTGAAAATCCACCAAGCAAGCATGAGCAATATTTGATATGTGAGTATACAGGATATTGCTACTGAATCTAAAATTCTTCTCTAAATTTTGTTGTTTATTTACTTGACAGGAAGAGAAAAAAAGAGGAAGAGAACTAGAGACTGAAATATAGATGTCTTTCACCTGCT